GCAGGCGTCGCGGTGCCAGCGCCTGCCCCGCCGCAGGCCAGCTCCGAGGAGGCGCGCTCCAACCTGCGCTTCCTGGCGGTGCTGGAGGCGCCGTGCCGCGAGCTGCGCGCGCTGCCGCCCGCCGCCGTGCCCGCCCGCCTGCCGCACCTGCTCAGCCTCGTGCGCGTCGTCTGGGTCAACTCGCCCTACTACAACACGCGCGAGCGCATCACCGCGCTGCTGCGCAAGGTGAGCGTCGCGCCGGGGCGCGGGGCGGCGCCGGGCGGGCTGGACACCGGCGCCGTCACCCGCAGCTGAGCAACAAGATCATCCGCCTGTGCTGCCGCCACGTGGCCCTGGAGCGGCTCTTCGAGGGCTACGTGCTCTCCAGCCGCCGCTGCCTGCACGACTGCGTGGCCTGCGTGGAGGCCTGGAAGGAGAGCTACCTGCGCGCCGCCCACATGCACAACCGGTGCGCGGCGGTACCTACAGGCACCCACGGGGGTTGCTTTGGCGCACGGAGGGGGTACAGCAGCCGCGTTCCCCGCAATTGCCTGTGCCACGGTTGTGAGCCCACCGTGCGCAGGCACTACAGCCTCTCTGGAGTTAGGAACCGCTGTGCAGGGGGGGGCCTGGGCCCCTCCGGGACCCCCTCGGCGGCCCCTCAGGGGACGGGGACACCCAGGCCCTCCCACGGGTGCTGAGCGCCCCCCTCTCCCACCAGGCTCTCACCCAAGGGCTGGGTGCTTGACCAGACCAGCATCTTCGCCCAGGTGGACGCGTTTGCTCAGCGCTGCCGGGACCTCCTGGAGGTGGGGACAAGCTGGGGACCTCCCCTCCGCGTGCGGTGACCCCCGCCTGTGGTGACACCCCCAACCGTCCCGTCCCCCCGCCCCCGCAGGTGTGCGACTGCCAGCAGCACTTCGGGCGCTGGGAGGACGGGCAGCAGAGCCCCCCGCCCCGCTTCTCGGGGCACCGGGGGCCGCAGCTGGCGCAGAGCCTGCTGGAGATCGAGGAGACCTTCGCGAAGCACCTGCAGGCCCTGCGTGCCACCAAGGGCCACGTGCTGGACGTGCGCAGCCCCTGCTGGCACGAGGACTTCAACCGGTGAGGAGCGGCGCCCGCCGCGCTGCCGGCCCC